GGCGCACAAATCTCTAATTAATAATCCCTAATGAGGAGACGCACTGCTCGTGCACCTGTGTACCTGTGCAAATTAGGCAACATAGTTGAGCGATTGCTGTGTAATTTGTTCGTGAGTAAGCCATTATATGTTGTGCTTAGGAATTGACATGCAGACATGGAATAACTAAGCCCACTTACGTGTGTTTTAAGTGGCGAACTGCGACGTACTTGTGGCGCCTCCGATATGGCTTGGTTTCATCTTCAGCCGGGCAATTTGCTCGGGAATATTACCTAATAAGTGTCGGTGCTTGGCGCGTGACTGACTGGCCAGCTGGAGTTCGATTCGCTCGGACTCGATCCTTGCCACTTCGTGTGGGGCACGTGCAGCTCCGAAATCCCTATCTGCAGTGGTGCACACGCCCTGCAAAGCTACCACCTGCCCCCAACCCCCGTGCCTATTTGGCCGCCAGTTGCAGCCGCCATGCTGGGCGGTGTGTGGCAAGTAGGCGTGGCTTAGTGGCTAGGTAACCGACAATTATTCATTGCGCATACGACGCGCTGGACGCGCTAATTAGACAATGCAGCCGCTGCAGCTGTCGATAATGAAGCCGCCACCGCTGGCAGCCCGCTGCCTTTGGTGTGGCAAGTTATATGATTATGCCGCTGCCACGCCCACCAGCCGCCGGCACGTCCGCCTGCGCCCACTGCACTGGCTGCTTAAGCTGTGAAGCACGTCCCTTTTGAGCCGTGGCCATCTGACGTGGCATGCATTCCGTGCATTCCGTGCATGCCCCGCCGCCCACTGGCCAACCCCCCTGCTAAACTGGCCAAGCAACCAGCAACCAGCAACACAAGTTTCCCAATTCCCCGCCCGAAAAATAGGGCACACAAAAAGAAAAGTACGGAACGGGAGGAAGTTTCGCTGGCAAGGAATCAGCAGCCTGATTGCGGCAGCGGATCAAAGGAACGGCTCCGTAATGGGATTCCGGATGACATCAGCTCAAAACTGGGACACGCTGTCGCTCGCCAACTTCTCCGGCTCCAAGCAGTGGCAGTGGCACAAATGGCGCCGTAGGATGTGTGCCCAAAAAGATACGTTATGGGGCACTGGGAACGATTTGTGCTTCAAGAAGCTGTAATATAGATACCAAATAAATATAAATAATAACATACAAATACAGATAACATACAAAAAAACAGAATTGCACCTTAAAATCTAAAAACAAAATACAAATGTGCATAATAAACACATAAGTAATTTAGCGCGTTACCTAATTTGATTAAGATTAAGATGCAACCAACTTAGTTGGGCTAGTTTTGTAAGCTACTCTATCCATTATAATAAATAAATGAATAAAAAATAAATACTGTGGTAATCATAAGAGCATGCAAATGCCACATGCCGCATAAGCCATCCGGACTTCCATTTAGCATCACTTGCACTTATCAATAATAAATGATTGGTAAAAGTGGAGTGTACAAGGAGCAGCCAGGACATTTATTGTCCATCTGCATGGGTGTTGTATAAATAAGGAATTTCCACGCATCCTTTGGGCTGATTGTCGCCGTTGTCTTTATGGTTTTTATGGCCGCCTGTCCGTATCCGTGTCCGCATTCGTTGGCACACTTGCCACACTTGGGCCTCCGATTCGCAGCCACTTTGCACACTGACCTTTGACTCCCACGTGGCCCATCATCAGCCAGGTCGTCGTCCTGCTGCCGCGTGCTCCGACCTTAAGGATACCTAAGGACACATAAACAACGGGATATGAAATGACTGGCTCGAGTAGCCCCTGGGACAGGGATGCTCAGCCGTGACCCCCACAGCGATATCCTTGCTGCTCCGTCTCCTGGCCCGTGCTCCTTCCGCCGATGCCCTTGGCTACGCACGATTTAAATTAAATTGCACTCGACGCACTTCCCGGCAGCAGGAGGAAGCACAGAGACACGACCCTCTGACCTGGGAGTCCTGCGAGTCCTGTGAGTCCGGCAAGTCCTCGTCCAACACACCTCCTATTGTGATTCAATTAGTGCGCCTAGCTCGGGTGGCCAGCTGGAGCGCTCCGGAGCAGCGCTTCCTGGCCATCTGGTGGCCAAGTGCCCGTAAATAAATAATAAATGTAATCCCGGGCTAGGACTTCCAGGCAAAAGGGGGCGAAAAGGATTGCGCCGGACGGGTTCGTTGAACCAGCAGAGATCAGAGCTCGGAATGGATGAGTGGCTGGCTTGATGGATGGCAGATTGCACGGCGCATACATGTGGCCAAGGGCTTGATGGGCGAACGGAAACTTATTTTATATATTCAAAAGCAAAAAATCAAAAATGAAATAAACGTTAAACTATAAACTGGATACATTTCTGTGTGCAACAATAAATGAGCCCACAGGCTGGATATCCCTAAATATCCCGGTCCACGTCTAACTCAATTTGGGTTCGGCCAATCCCAGGATAAAATAGTTCCATCAAGCAAACGAGATTAGCCTCGAATACTCCGCAACGGGCGGCTGCCCCACGCGACTCAGGACCACATGGCATCCGCAACAACCGGGCTGTGCAGCTCCAAAGAAAGTGGGCGTGGCAGGAGCAAGGGCCAGCAAAGGCAACCAAGGGCCATGGCGGGCTAGGAAGCTCGGAGTGCACACAGAAATCTAATTTAAAATCTGCACACATGTGGAGCGCGGGTTGCTGGGCGGTGGGTGGTGGGCAGTTGGCTGGTGGGCACTTGGACGGCAGCTCAGGGGAGCTCAATGGTGCGGAGCGACAGACAACAGATGGGCGCTCTGCCGCACCTGGCAGGGTGGGCAAGGTGGGCAGGGTGGGCACAGGCCAAAGGTGGCCAAGCAGAGGACAAAACAAAATCAAAGTCACCGTTGCCGTTGCCGTTGCCGCCCCCAAGGATGTGTGGCAAGCAGAGGTCCTGCGATTTAATCTTATAATGATGCCGGCTCTCCGGCGGACTTCCAGTTCCAGTCCAGCCCGCCTCGCATGCCAGCTCTATTTACACGTCCTGGCGAAGCTGCAACGGGTGGACAAACACCTGGCGCCGCCTGCTCCGCCAGAAGAATCTCCTGCCGGATGGCTGGCAGTCCGACCATTGCCATTGCGAGCTGCCAGAGATGCAAACAATTTTCGAGCAGCATGCTCCAGCTACACTGGCCAAAGCGATGGCACCTCTCTGGATTTGTTTCACCAGCGTTCGTTGGCAGTTTTTGGGCAGTGCATCGAGTAGGCAGCCCAAGTTTTCAGCTTGCCGCACATTCTGTGCCCCCAGGAAAAAACGCTTGGTGTTCCCTGCACTGCAGCAACAGCTGCACCAACTACAAGATGCCAGAAGCTCCGGGGAATCTGGAATCTGGAATCCGGAAGCTGGGCGCTTTGCGAATGCATTACCATTTATGTGAAGTCAAGAGGCTGGTTAACGGGTAATTTGCTCGAACTGAATTGAATGAGTTGCAGGAATGCCTATGGCGTTTTGGTCTGGGCTGCTGCGTCCAGTTCCTCGGGCGCCTGCGAGGCATCCGGCTGGACGCCACTGGGGCCCGGCTGCTGGTCGTCCACGGCGTAGACGCGCTCATCGGTGACCTGGAGGCTCAGCACGGAGATCGAGGTGACCAAGGTGGAGTTGGGCTTGATGCCGTACTTGCCAAAGCGCTCGCCCTTCTCGCTGGCAATGGTGTCGGTCCTCAGGTACGTGGCGCCCTTCCTGGTGATCACGCAGAGATCGATGTTGGAGCCGGAGCCCAGGTCGTTGAACACGCCCGCCGAGATGGCCTCGCGCACCAGCTGCTTGCCCTGCTCCTGGTCCAAGCGGGGATGCCAGCCGTGCTCCAGCACCGACATGGCCGCCAAGGTGCCGGAGCCCATGGCCGCGTAGGGGATCTTGTCATTGGAGCCGCACGGATAGATGCAATAGATCTGCGGGCCGGTGCTGTCCACGCCGCCCATCACCAGGGCGGCCCCGATGTGGCCCTGGTAGCGGAACAGCGTCCGGCGGAGCAGCATGCTGGCACAGACCACCGGCACCTGCCTGCCGGTGTTCAGCTGGTGCAGATCCAGCTCGGAGGAGGTCACCAGGGTCATCATCTCGGTGTCGGCAGCGGTGCCAGCGCCACAGCAGCTGCGTCACAGTTCAGTTTCACTTTCAAAGTTATGCCCAAGCCCCTGCTGGTTATACTCACTATATGTGATCCTGGAGATGGTGAATCTTGGAGCAGTTCTTGTCGGAGACAATGGGTCCTTCGGTGGCGCGGGTGTCGGCGCCCAGTATAACGCCGTCCTGGCAGATGATGCCCACAATGGAGGTGCCCGTGCGAATCGCCTTCGGTGGCTCGTAGCCCTGGGACAAGAGCTCCGCGTTTCTGTGCGCAGAGCCATTCGATTTATATGATGAACAGGATGGGTGGCCAACTTGTCCACTTACCGCCTGCAATTCACGAAGTTGAATCCACACCGCGCGCGCATCAAATCCACGGATTGGTGCGCCCCTCGGGCGGAAAATGGAAAGGGCATGGTGCTCAGTATCCAAAATATAGTCAGCAACTGGATCAATGTAGTGAGTGGCTGGACGGGAAAAGCTATGTGTGCTTTAAGGATATTTGCTTACTATTTGCTTTATTTAACATAAAATTATATACCCAAATGTGATGTTTTACTCGGCATCATGCAGTAAATGAAACCATAAAAATCGCCTATTGCACATTGCAAAAATCCATGTGTAAATGCATTACTCGCTTAATGAAGAGAAGAAGATACTTTGTCATCGATGGGTTTTGTGCTGAGGGTAAGGAAATGGGAAATGGAAAACCAACAAAAAAGTGACGCGTGGAAAGCGGCAGCTACTTCCACCCATTTTCCAACTGCATTCAAATGCCAAACAATTTGACAGCGCTTAATTGGTCTGCATGTGTGTGCGTTTGCGATTGAGAGTGTGTGCGTGAGTGTCCTTTCGCACACACACACACGCAAATATGAGCTGACAGCACTGCAGCTGTATTCTTATTTGTATTTGCATTTGTGTTTGTGTGTGCACTTGCATGCATGTGGACGCTCCATAATCCAAGGACATGGACACCCAGCCGAGGTCCTTGTAACCTGGTCAGTTTGGAGTGCTCGACAGCGGCACATGTGGCACACATCAATTAGCATTAATTAGAAGCCAATTATATTTTAATCAGCATTTGGAAGGCAAACTGTGAAGTCGCCTCACTTCAGTTGCTTTGCAAACCACCAAAAGGAACTCAACGCAGAATGAAGTGATGGCATTTTAAGGATATATTAGGTCGTGAGATATGAAATACAAAAATTCAAATATTTTAAGAAATTAAACTGTCTGCGAGAACTGCTAAATCAAAAGGGATTCGTAAAGTGCCGACAATTAGAGGATTTGCCAGCCTCGAGAAACTTTCACTCGGCAATTTAGGGCCGCAAAAGTTTTGCAACAAATGCAAATGCAGCTGGAGCAAGTTTTCATTTCTGCCGCTGCCTTGCGAAATATTTTAGCCGGAATTTTCCGTTTTCCGACAGCAGTTGGCTTTTCAATTAGGCGGCAGCACAAACACCTGACGGCGAAAATTGGGCGACAATCGACAGCCGATGGCGGCCTAAAAATGGAAAACTAATCAGGAGTTGGCATTCAGTTTTGATTTCTGCCTTGCTAACAACAATTGCCAAAGTTTGACGCCCCCACCTACGCTCAAATATATATATATATTTACCCACGAAAACCCCAAATCGAACAGGTTGTTCCAGCCGCCATCGGAATCCCTTTTTTCCTTTTATTTTTCATTTTTTTGGGTGTCCCTTCGTTTTTGTGGCCGTAACTTTGCCCAGGATAATTATGGGGAATGCCGCCACTGACAAAAGGTTGCGTCCTTAGCTGATTGGGAGATTAAAATTTAATGAGATTATAAAGTCATTTCGGCCCTGTTCGCTGGATGTTTGTTTGGGTCTGGCGCTAGCCGTAAATAACGCCATAAATAAATAAGATAGTCCCCGATCAGATCAGATTGATGAACTATCTGGTGCTGAAACTCCCGCCTTTGAGCTCTGCAGTTCTGCTAGATTTTACTAGTATTAAAACAGCTTTTTTCCACTCCTCTTTGGAAAGTCAAAGGGCGGTTTTTTAGGGGACATTTTCGCATGCTAATGACTTTCAGTCGAGAACTCACACACACACACAAAGGCAGCCCCGCCCATTTGAAAAACGACGCCATGATGAGTCCTTTGAAGTTGCCCTGCTGTCCATTTCCCATTTCCTGGCTGGTCCCAGTCGAATGGCCACTGCACTCGCTATTAGCACACATCCATTCATATCCGTGCCACATCCAACGGGCAACGTGCAACGTCCAACGTCCAATATCCGGCATCCTGCCAAAGGACAAGCGGCCTTTTAAGCCATGTCGCCGAATCCAGTTGGCGCATTCATGCGGCTTTTGAGCGGCAACAGCGCGTCCAGGATAATGGACACATCAGGTGGAAGGTGAAGTCCTGCTTGACTTTTTCCTAATGAGCCAAGGGCGCCTTTTCAAATTTCCACGCTTCTTGCCACATGTTTGCACGTGGCAGCAGGCTACTCAGTGTAATACCCTGTCAATGGAGTGCACTACAGTTGGGGATTAAAGGGACAGCCAGTGGCCAAAAAATAAAGAAACTAGGATGCCAGCAATGAAGATGAAGCGGCTGGCGCTGCCACCGCATAATTCAATTAGTTGTAGTCGTGCCACCACGCTCCGTGGAATGTGCAACATGTGTGGCACTGGCACCCGTCTGCTGCGTCTGCTGCGTCTGCTGCGGCAATTAAGCGGGAATTTCATTTCGGCGGCGCCAAGTTGCCGCAGCAGCAGCAACTGCCGACTGGCTGCTACCCCGCACATACCCTGGATTCCCATGAATCCACTTACTTATTTACACTAATCCCGGCATTTACCTTAACTTTAGATACGGCTTTGCCGGGCTCGATTCGAATTGCCTGCTGCGAGGGAGTCAACCAAGCAGGTTAACCCTGTTCCCAACCTGGTTACCCAGCAGGCAGTCCTCGAGCAGGCAGCTCCAGTGCACACTCGGCAAATAAGAGGGAAGGGGGAGGAACAATAGGCAAATCGTTAAGATTCCACAACATTTCGCACTGCAATCGCCGGCAGTTACACTCGGAAAAACGATGTATCATTCTTGCTGCTGAATACTACATGGGATTTCCAACTTCGTGAGCACTGCACCCAGATTTCTTCCACTTTCACTGCACTTTCTTTACGTGTGCAAGTGTAAGTGCACGTGTGTGTGTGTGTGTGTGGGTGAGGTGTAGGTGTGAACTGCACATCGTTTGCATCTGTGCGCGTGTGCTGCTGCCACAATTACAACCCCGCCTCCAACTCCAACTCCCACCGCACATACTTACGTACATATATGCATGCCACATGTGGGCGGTTATGACTTAATAAATACTCCCCAGTGTGCGCAATGTGGCTGGCAATTTAATAACAAAGGCAAACGGCATTGGAATAAAAAGGAGCCCAGAGCATTGCATGCTCCTATGTACACACACATGGGTGTGCCCCTGATTTACTCCACACACCACGCGGTTTTCAATCAGATACAGAAGTGCTTGCAGTCCGCTCTTTACTCAATTTGAAACACCTAAGTTTTCAAAGTTTTTACAGTGTTGGAAAAAATAATAGAAACACGTTGGTTGAATCATTGATTTTAAATTTTGTGCTCAGAACGAAAGCAATATTTTGTAATCTTTATTTTTTTAAATTCATGTATAAGTATATTTCGCAATAAGGAACAAAAATATTTTCTTCATCTTTATATTAACTAAAAATAATTAACTTCTTTTTTGGCGCTTGGAAAAAATAATAGAAACCAAACTCTTAAAACCAAGAAAAACTTCATTTCTATGAATTATCTTATAAGAATAGTTGTAATATCAATATTTAGTGGTATTTCCTTTATTTTTATAACTGCTGAGCATCGACGGGGCATTGAATTAACTAAATTGGCCCAAATTTCGGGCTTCATGGCAATCCACTCTGACTTAACTTTTTCCCACAGCTCTTCCTTATTTTTTGACTTTAAACCTCCAATTCTTCTTTCTTATATATATATTATAATATTTGCGGCTGAAACCCTACAACTAAGTCAACAAAATGGGATCCAAGCTGATCTGGCTCAGTGGTGGTAGGCGGCGTAGACGGGAGCCACTGGAGCCACGGCCTTGACCACGGTCTTCACCAGCGGTTCCCGGTGGACCACGGCATTGAAACCGTTGACGGGATCGGCGGTGTACTGCACGGTGCGCTTGAAGCCATCGGAATCGACCAGGGAGTACTCCCCGCGCACCACGTCCCCGTCACGCTCCTCCACCTGGCTCTTGGAGTCGCCGGACAGGGCGTCCTGCACGTCGTAGGCGTACTTGTACTGCGGATGCGGATCGTACTCCTCGTCGGCCCTGGCCAGCACCGGATGGGCCACGCTCTTCACGACGGCGGCGGCAGCTGGCGCCGCATAGCTGGCCACCGGAGCAGCATGGTACACCTGGGCGGCGGGCAGGACGCCGGCGCTGGCGGCGGCGAGCAGCGCGAAGAGGGCCACAAACTGCAGGGAACCAGATATAGATATAGATACATAGATATATAGATATAGATATAGCCACCTTGAATGCCATTTGAGAGCTTGACCTGGCTTGATTTTGGATGTTGGTGCGTTGAGCGCTGGCTGCTGTTTGATAAGAAATGCGGCGGTAGGAACGGCTTTATAGCCAAAAAAAGCGCCGCACTTGCCGCTCATTACGCAAATCAGGTAAAACTCAAAAGGCTAAAACCATAAAGCCCAAGGCCGAGTTTGTGGCCCTTTTGTGGGGCAAGTCGAGCAATTGGACACACAAATTAAGTGTAGTAATACAACGCACACGTTCATTCACTCAGAAAAACGAGACATTGTGGATATTTTGGCAAACCGGTCTGGCCCACAACTGTCCACGTTGTAATTGCAACAGCAACTGCTCCCAATGACACAAATCGAAATAGAGATCCACCAAAATAGCCTGCACAGTAATATTTTAACCATCATCAGCTTGGCTGTCATCTTCAGCTGGCGAATCCAGAAACGACGAGTCATGGCCGAGAATTTGAGCGATTGCGCCAGTCACTAAATTATTTAGGCCCAAATAAATAAAGCCACTTTAAGATACCTCTGCAATATAAACATAAATTGGTGGATAAAGTGGGATAAACTAGCAGAACTTCACTTTGTCTGCGATGCTGGGAAACTGCGAATTTAATTACGAATATGAGTCGTGGATTCCGATGGAGCTCCTGGCCAGCTGGAGGTCCTGGCTAATGGTGTAAATGGCGCAGGACCTCGGCTAAATATCCGTTCTATCAAATTCAATTAAAGTTGACATGGGTTCACAGCTGTCTTGGCCTCTGCACTCTGTCAGATTGGGTCAGATCCAAGTCCGGGGTCCAAGTTCCACGTTCCACGTTCCAGAAACCAGCGCTCCTCTGCCGTATCCTCAGTATCCTGCTGAATTTTTGAATCAATTTCCAGCGACAAACACACACGGCCTGCGGAATCAAAGGAAATACTTACGGCGCCGATGGAAAAAAGTGGCCAACGCCCAGGCGTAATAAGACAAACGGAAAGGCGGGTCGGGAATCGGCAAAAGGTTCGTCCTGCCACAAGGCTTTTCACTTTTCCTGCTCCGCCTCCTGCTCCTCCTCCTGCTCCTGCTCCTGCTCCTGCCTTCTTTTCTTCTCTTTTTTGCCCGCCCCGTGTTGCTTAAATTAAAACACTGGCAGCAGCCAGTTGGGAAGCCCCAGCCCGAAAAAATGGCAAGCGAATTTGCAACGGCCTTTGGCTGGAAGTCGGGGCGATTGTGAGATCGGGCCAGGGACATGCACCCGGTTCATGGCCTCCGGAGCCCGCGGAAGCCCCCGCAATAACCCCCGGAAATGCCCGGAAACACCAGCCAAATCCCCTCCAGAAAGTGCCCTTCTGTTGCTGCTCGCTGAGTGTAAATTTGCTCGTTAAATTTGTTGCCACTCTCGACTAATTTGCACTTGCAACGCAATGGTCTGAGTTTTAGTGGAGGCCTTCAAGGCTGGCGGTTTCCAGGGGTTTTTCGGTGCTCCACGAGCGCAATACTTTGCATTGGGCTAATTGAAAAGACGCTGCCCGGCGGCGCAACCTCCATGGCACCCGTCCACTTGGCCCACTTGAAGTTCGCAGCTAAATAGCCCCAAGTAGCTGCAGATCGGCCATGTACATGCGCAGAAAAAATAAATCAAGTATTTAGCACTCGCAGGCTGCAATTAAGCACTTGAAAGTTGTGGCTGCGTTCCAATTAAAGGTGCAGCTATAATCCGGAGCATAGTGCTCCTAGTCGATGGAGCAAAGGACTTGACTACAGCAAAGTGATTAGATTAAATCAGAACAGACGCCGAGTTCTCCCGCAGGACGAAAAGGATACTTGGTATGCGTGTCGCAGCGGCAGTGGCAAACAGGAGTGGCCAGACATGCGTATGCAAATGCTAATCAAAGCGAATCGAGTCCTGGAGCTCGCCAAAAGGAGTCCTTGATTTGGAAATATGAATAATTGGCCCGCATTAGCGGGCATTGTTGTTTCGTCAACGGGAAATCGGCTGGCAGATTAATCGAGCGGCATTCATGGCCATAACCCGGCGACTGATGGCCGGGCACATTGAGTCCACAGATGCGAAATTGATGCACTTGGGTGGGGGTGTCCCTGCCAGGAACTGAGCCCCCACCCGCAGCGCCATCCACCAGGATTACATGCTCCGAAATAGTGGGCCCTCGCCGACGTTGGCTCATTATTATGCAGCTCATGAGCTCATCGTTAGTGGCAAAGTTATATGAGCATACATCAGCCCTGCCGCACAACTTTGCAACACCCGCAGGAAGTCCTAAACTCGGCGAGGTGGATGGGGATTGGGGATTGGGGGTTTGGGGGCCAAAGGAGGCGGCTGTCAAGCGGCGTCTGGCAAGCGGAAAGTGTTAAGCACAATGAAGTAAATGCTGCCAACTTCTGACATCGCCGGGCTCCCCCAACTTGAATCCAAAATGTGGGGCTGGCGAAAAAGCAACCACCAGCCCCCAAGCCCCATATATCCGTTTCAAGGCTCTGCCAAATTCGCCGCAGGACTTGTTCGGGGCGAAAAGTGCGGCAACTAGTTTCTGCCATATTTCTATTGCTCCCTTTGATGTTGAAAGTTTGAAATAACAATTTGAGTTGCGAATTTATCAGCAGTGATAATGCCCCAGCGATCTTCTTTGTAATACATTTTTCGAAAGTAAAAGTTAGGTATTTCCGGCTCATCTTCAGCTTGATCGCTGCTAAATCCATAAATGAACCTATTTCCAGCGCACTCTTCCATTTTGTGGCATTGGCTTTAATTCGCCCAAATGGACAACCGATGAGCTCCCAAAGTGGCTGACTGATGGGTGGATGATGTGGCATTCTGGCGTTCTGGCATTTTGGCATTTTGGCACGGCGGCACATCATAATGGCCAAATCAATTATCAATTTCGAGCCGTTTTCATGTGAGTTATTTGCGATGCGATGGCAACTAATGGCCACGAAATGAACTGGAAATGGAAATGGCAATGGCAATGGAAATGGCAATGGCAATGGAAATGGCAATGGCAATGGAAATATGGCGAGGACATTGCTTGATTTATGGCCAAGCCTATTTATCCAAGTCGATGAAAGCGCATGCATCTCTAGCCGCATCCAAGTGAGTTTTTAGGCTTCCACTTTGTGGTTCACTGGACCCCAACCCGTCTTATCCACATGGTCAGCCGCATTCGCATCCGCTTCCGCATCCGTATTCCCATTCCCAATCCCTTTGGCCCAAAGAGGGCGAGACACTCGGTCAGCAGAATGCATCCCTCGAGTGCAGTTGGCAAATTGCACGGGAAACGTCGCCGGGAATGGGTTGCTAACAGCCAGCTGGCAAACAGGGGTTAAGGCGGTTGCAGCTCCGCTGTGGCCACTCAATTTCGGAGCTGCCCAGCGGCGTACACTGCCAGAAACTGCGAGAGGCGAGCCAAACCTAACTGCAATGAAAAAAATGCAATAATGGGAGTCATGAGAGTAGCAGAAAGCAGAAAATAAGGTGGCCCCGTTTTGCCACAGTGCATATTGCCATGCAATTAGCAGCAAATTGAGGGGGCTGCAAACTGAGCGACTGGAACTGGGAGCCAGATCTGGGTTTGGTGCTGGGTGCAGACTTTGAGTTGGGTTGGGCTCTTGGTTTGGGCTTGGGTAGTCGGATTGGGTGGTGTAGGGAATCAGCTGCATTAGCAAATTCATGCAACGTGCCTCGTAATTGAAACGGCGCCAGCTGCAATTATTTTCCATTCTAATTCGGGTTCCACTGCGGCCAGGCAAACCACATGGGTTTCGCATGGCGATACCAGATTTGGAGGCCATGGGACCTGGACAGGATCCGCAGATCGCGGCTTCCATATTTAATTTGCTTTCGCGCAGCGGCTGCAATTCAATTCCAATTGAAATCCGCATCGAATTCGCATGGATATTTGCTTGACCTGGGGTGCGAAGTTTTGCCCTAGTGCTGCCCAGTACCACGCCCTCATTGGGCCGCCCCTGCATCTAAGTACATACATATATCCAGTCAGTGATGAGAAGTAACCAGAAGTATCCAGCAGAGCCCAGAAGTATCCAGAAACATCTAGAGGTATCCATAAGTATCCATAAGTATCCAAAGGTATCCAGCAGAATCCAGAAGTATCCATAAGTATCCAAAGGTATCCAGAATTATCCAGGAGTATCTAGAAGTATGCAGGAGTATCCAGAAGTATCCGGAAGTATCCAGAAGTATCCAGCAGTATTCAGAAGTATCCAGACGTATCCAGAAGTATCCGGAAGTATCTAGAAGTATCCAGAAGTATCCAGAAGTATCCAGCAGTATTCAGAAGTATCCAGCAGTATCCAGAAGTATCCGGAAGTATCCAGATGTGCAAATCCTTCAACGAAGATCATCGGTAAGCCACGTACGAGCATGTAATAATCTTAACAAGATATTTACTTGGAAAATGTATTTTTTGTAGTTAGTAACATACACTATTTCAAAGGCAAAAGCGGAGCATCACTGTTTTCAACATCGGTTTTAGTGGCTGTAAAATTGGCAACAATTGCGCCGCCCCTGCTGCGCTCTTCGCGTTTAATTAGCTGCGACTGCAGTTGCAACTGCAATGTGACCGACCACGCCCCGTGCCGCCCGTACCAGCAGCTCCATTGAAGTTGGCAATACGCTGTTTCATACGATTCTGGCCATATGCCAAACCCGTGTCCATGCAATTTGTGCAGTCATGTCGCAGTCCATCAACACCTTTTTATTTGCCACTGCAACTGGGTCCTTAATTCCGGATTCGGCACGACGGACCTGGCTGTCCGGCCTTAACCCCAAACGACCCTTAACCCCCTTGCATAAATTGCCATTGACAGCTGAGCTATGTACAAGCTGGCGCCTTTTTTCCGCCATCCAAAAGGTGGCAATCCAAAAGGTAGCTACTATGTAAGGTTAATCAAGCTACGTTATGAAATCTGCACAGGACATCGCTTTCCAGTTGGAGAAGGGGTAATTAAATGGTTATCCATGCAACTGAAGTTACTTCTGCAAGCTGGAAGGCAGTAAGCTGGCAAAAGAATCGACAGAACTTCTGAAAATCGTATTTTCCCAACATATTTACCTTTCGATGATCCCATAAAGAGTCACTGGTATCTGTTTGTTGTTGGGGAATGGACTGTACCATTGTTGGCCCAGTTTTCCGGTTTTCCTAACGTGTTTAGACAATTTCATTTGGGGTGCGCTCTGTGCCCCACACCTGCCCCAATTTTCCGCCCACCAACCACCGCCCACCGCCCACCTTGCAGGTCACGTAGTGGGCGGGTGGGCGTGGCCAGTTTGCTGGCTGTTTGCGCATTTCAAATTGAATTTTCATCACAGTGGCATCGGCGAGGGCCGGAAAATGGATGAAAACTGCTAGAAAATGCGGGGCATGCAGCATGATATGGCAATTATACAGGATGCGAAATGCAGTTAACACCCAGCATGCAAAGGCATTCGGCGCGCTCCATTTTGCCCACTGATTGCTCTCAGCTGCCAGGACACACGAAGTTTTTGCCCAGTGCCCAATGTGGCTTAAAGCTGCTGCAAGTCGAAGCCAAGTGGCAGCTGCAAAATGGGAAAATGGCCGAGAAGAAAACCAAGTTCTTTTTCAGGCAAATAGAAGCCGCTGCTTTAGCAGCTCTTACTTGTGGTATACTTTATACAGTGAATCTTAGCACTCAAAGCGTTGACAGCAAGTGCAGTGTACTCGGTGCTATTATTTAAATAGTTGAAGATATTTTTCAAACACATTCAGGCGCCTTGTGTTTATGGCAGCAAGTTCAGTTCTTTAAGCAAAAGTGCAGCTCGCAGTTCTTGGAAAGAAAAGGGGAGCCAGCATGTGGCCCACTGGCAATGACAGCTGTTGGTGGGTGGCCACCCACCCACGCCGCCCACTGGGCTATGACATTTCACTTGCTGCATTTGCTCGCATTTTCACTAAATTGACTTTGCCTGCTATCGTTTAGGGCGCACCGATGCCACCCACGCCGCCCATCCACAGTCATCCACGCCCCAAAAATTGCGGAGTGCTGAGTCTGAGTGCAGCCATTTTTTATGCTCCGTTGGGCAACGACAGCCCAGAATCCCAGCTTGCAGCTGCCAGGATCCATTTCGATGCCACTTTGGGGGAGTCGTACGTTATCCTTTGGCATTGGCAATCTATAAATATCTAAGATGCCATAAAACTCAGCTCAGCGAAGCCCGGCAAATGTCATCATGGGCATGGTGGCCATCGAGCATCGAGCATCGAGCATCGAGCAGGTGAGAGATGAGTTGGGATAAAATCGGATGAGATGGCGCGCCTGGCCAGAATCGCAAATCCAAAATCGCAGCTCAAATCGAAATCCAAATCCAAATCCAAATTCGAAGCGGCCGCCTTTCAATTGCACTGGACCGCCTGGCATTCGAAAATCCAGGAGACGGCTGCTGCGATTGGGATCCGGATTCGGATTCGGATTCGGATTTGGATTGGGACAATATTTGAGGATGATTGGATGCTTGTGCAAGCGGCTTTCATGTACGTGAACGGCAAATTTATTTGCACAACTGCGATTGATGCTGGCATCGAAACGCCCCCAGTCGACCTGCAGACCTGGTGCACTGAGAGAAAGCAGCGGTAAGCTGTTCAAATTTAAAAACGAAGCATTCGGCTAAATGTACACGCAAGTTTGCAGCTTGCAGCTTAAATTATTTTGCACTATTTATAATGCTTTGCAGTGATTTGGAAAATGCGTTTTTCCGAGTGCACACTGGCCTGACACATTCGGGGAATCCGGGTCTACGTCACCCGGAGTTTGGCATTTGCCAAATGCTCGGCGCTCGATCTGCAGCATAAAAGTCTGTTGCATAAACCAATTTCGCATTTGCTCCGCCGCCGAATGCAGATGCCGCCGAGGGGGGCGGGAGAAGTGGAAAGTGGAAAAGTGGGGAAAATTCTGTCAACGCAACTTCTTCGACTGGCAGCAGAATCGCTGGCTGGCTGATAACGTAAACCGCTTTGATTTTTATTTAACTGCACATTTCCCTTCGACAAAAAGCGGCACACCCCTCGTCGATTGACATTTAATGGCAACTTGTGGCGGATTTTCGATTGCAATTTCTGCGGTTTTTCAATTTTCCCCAATTCCACCATTTTCCATTTGCCTTCGCTTATTGCATTTATTTATTTTGTGCGCGCGCCCTGCCCGCTTTTCGCTTTGCTTTTTATTTTTGGCCTTGCTGTCGAGCGAGTGAAATTGATAATTTATAAAATTGCTGGCAAATGGCAAAGAGAAAAGAGAAAAGGTGGAAAAATGTAAAAAAAACATAGAAAAGAAGGAGAAAACTGCGAGTTTTCCCGCACATTGCTCCATCGTTTTTGCGGTGTGTGTTGCAACACATTTGCCGCGTTCGCCTCATGAAATATTTCTCAAGTTTCGGCCGTTACCTTGACTTGATAGAAAGCATCCTGCGGCAGCCTGGTGGCCACTTTATGGCGGGTATCCTGCATCCTTGCCACTACCCACAGTCGTCCATTAAATTATGCAAAACACACGCTCTCACACACACTTTCCCAAGGACTTTCCCTTTGTGTCGCTCCGTTCCTTTTCGCTTTTCACACGCCCGTTTTAAAGAAAATACATTTTTCACTTGGCTGTTGCTTTTACTTAGCCAGCTGAAGCGCGGAAACACACACACACCAGCACAGCTAAGGTCAAAATAATACAGATATGTTTATAATCATATTTTCCCATTTTTACCAACCAATTTACACGGCACTTTAATCTGTAGGCGGATTATAGAGTTGTAAATAATTTAGTGCACAGATGTATTCCATATAGACGCATTTCATTTACCAAATATGCCATTAAGAGCTTGAAAAACTGTGCGTATACTTAATACTCCGAGCATGGCTGTAACTTGCCCCACAATCTAACCCCATTAGGGTGGCGCCCCAAAAAACCCCCACCTATTTATTTGGCGCTTCGCTGCTTTTATTTTATTGAAATTTATGATTTCTGACACAGAATTTATGTTGTTTTGCATTCTGGCAAGTGTGTGTGTGTGTGTGTGTGTGTGTGGGGGTGTTTGGGGCATAAAATAAACCTCAAATACTCGTAAAATGCCCAGTAAAAGCAGCCCAGCCAGCAGAGTCGCCAGTTTTCGAGGTGGGGGCAGAACCTACTGCTTGCTTTTTTCATTCGCACCCGGATCCTTTTCGCCTTGTCTATATGTACATATATATATATATATATATATATAGGAATCTGGGTTTCTCGTTGGTTTTTGGAAGCTCCCTCTTTGGCCCGGGCAATGCGAGTGAATTATTTAATTCGTATAAATATTGAAAACTGCATTTTTTATGATGTTTTCCCGTTGGTTTATTGCTCTTTTGCGGCGCTTTTTGCACTGGCCACAGGATCCCCCATCCTGTGCCCCAGTATTTGCCAGAGACATTGCGTATTGATATTTCACACTTCCATGGCCCACGAAAATACACATCCATATATAGATTTGCTCGCATAAGAAGAGCTCGCATTGAATTTAAGCCCTTCATGGAATCCCCATGAATAAGCCCAGCGAGAGTTGGCAAAACAAAAATAGTCGGAGAAATGAATATCCCGTAGTGCTGTGAATATACATAAGCTGAAGGGATATGTTTCGAGTTATTTACTTGCCAACTTTGGGCTTCCGGCTTATGACGAATATTTTTTTCAAAGTGCACTTTATTGCATATTTTTTGTAGTGTGACATTTCACTCACAAATATCCCATAGTCGATCATATGTCCTATTGGCATCAAGATCATTGTCGAAGCAAGCCAGTTTAGATGGAAGTACGAAGTACATAACTTTATTTCTGCGTGCACTCTTCACATTTGGAATGGCCCCCGAACCAGATTCGTATGCCTGGTTGAGAGTAAGTAAAGCAGCTCGGTACCAGCTCAGACATGGAAAAGGCAAGGATACTTCCACACAAATAGGGATACGAGTGCGCACTCCAGCCATCCAGCAGACACACACTCCACGCCCCAAAATAATCCCCAAAAGATGAAAATTGTGTAAAATTTGTGTGTTGGTTTCACTGATTAAGGATGGCTTACTGGCTGCTTGTCGGGCCCCCAAAACTGCTGCTTCTACGGCTGCTGGCCCCATCAGGGGAAATCTCTTGAAAGCCAAAAAGATGAATAGACCAGACCAACATCTAATATGTGCGAAATTTATCAGCCTCGATACACACACACACACACACACACACACCCCGACACACACGCACACACGTATGCCGACAAACACGTGAGTGGAGAAAGGATATATTCAGGAGCATTGCTGCTGCAAGGACGAAGGCAAACGGCATGGAAAATCGCAATAATAATTTTGCCTTTCAGCTTCGGTTTCGGTTTTGTGGCATCCGAAAGGAGGTGGGCCAAGTGGGCGGTTTGAAAGCTGCCTCAAGGATCCTGCCATCCAAGGATGCCCAGCCATGTGAGTGGACAGTTGCGGTCCCTCGGATGCGAATGCTCCAATTATCCAGGAGGTGGGGCGGTGATGAAGGTGGCGGTGGCGGTGGAGATGGTCGGGAATCGAAACTCACGAATTGCAATGCAGTTTGCAGATGCTCGGCTACTCGAGCATCCCATCATATATTTTCGTTATGCTTTTGTTGGCTACAACAGAAAAGGGGAAAGGTTTTTGGTTACAGTAACAGTTGGATTAAATTGTACAATGCTCCATCGGAGTGTCCCATCCCATCCCTCTGCTCGTAGCGCGCTGTCGGGTCCGTTTGCATTTTCTGGGGGTAGTAATGCTTTTCTCCTTGATCCATATCCGTTTACTCAGTTGGGAGGGTCATCGATTTCCTTTGTGCATCCTAGCAACCAATGGCCTGCAAGTAGCCCTGGATCTGCTCATTCAGGGCATGGCTATAAAAAGAGTTGATTAGTTGATCTTTCCTAAAGTGGACACGTTGTACAATATGCGTACCCAATTCCCTTGCCGCTGCTCGTTGACTTCTTGTAGAGAGCGGCCAGGAGGAGGATCTGCCCGGTCATCAGCAGTTCTCGTTTTCCATAGCTCAACCAGCCTTTGTTTTTCGTTTGGGTGGTAAGAAGTACACGCTCTTCCAAGGGCTCACGAATCTCTCGTCTGGAAAGGTCGCGTTCAACACGTTCACGGTCTACTCGTCCCTCACGGCGCTGTACTTCTCGGAGAATATCTTCCCCTTGATTTTCCCTGCGAAGATCATCTCGGATATCAACGCGCTCCACTCGACGATCCACGTCTCGTTCAACATCTCGCTCTTCTCTTCGCAGGCCATCGCGCTCCACTCGACGATCCACGTCTCGTTCAACATCTCGCTCGTCTCTTCGCAGACCATCACGCTCCACTCGACGATCCTCGTCTCGTTCAACATCTCGCTCTTCTCTTCGCAGGCCATCGCGCTCCACTCGACGATCCTCTTCTCGTTCAACATCTCGCTCTTCTCTTCGCAGTCCATCGCGCTCCACTCGACGTGTGTCATCTCGCTCCTCACGCCTCTCATTAGTTCGGATATCATCGCCACTTACTCGCCGTTGAACTTCTCTTCGCTCAACTCGTCGGGAGTCTTCTCGTTCTACTCTACCTAAATCAGCGCGCCGCTCTCGCACTTCTCCTTCAATACGCTCCATCCTACGCTCTGCTACACGTTCCTCCCTACGTTCAGCTTCACGGTCTTCTCTACGATTAATATTGCTTTCCACCCTTCGTTCCACATCACGAATACGGTCTACCTGCACTGTTCGCAAGTCGATTCGACGGGAGGATTCCTGCTCTGCACGGCGAACTTCCTTCTCTTCTCGGCGATGGTTGACCCTGTTGAGATCTTCCTCTTGCCTTTCACGCCTAGCTGAGTCTCGCTCTTCTCGTCGCTGTACCCTGCGTTCGTTGTCTCGCTCCTCCTTGCGGTCTACGCTTCGTCGAGAGTTGTCATCAAAAACAAATCGAACTCGGTTCTCTCGCTCTTCGCGTCGTTCAACACGTCGAAGAATATCGCGTTCGGTTCGACGATCAGAGTCTCGCTCTTCTTGTTCACGTTCCATTCGTCGAGACAATTGCCTGTCTAGACTAGCTCCGTCGTCACGGCGATCAACACGTTCCTCACGTCTGGACATCTCGCGTTCCACTCGGCGCTCGAGTCGTCGTTCGATCCCTGCTGCTCGTCGAGCTCCCAAGTCACGCCTGTTCGATTCGCGCTCTTCACGTCGCTCCACCAGATCGCGAACCTCACGAGTGTCTCGTTGCTCTACGTCAGCTTCACGTCGCTCAACACGCTCCTCACGGACCTCGCGTTGCCCAACTTGTTCCTCTCGAGTTTCACGTCGCTGTTCTCGGTTCTCACGAATTTGACGGCGCTCGACTTGATTGTCACGGGCTTCGCGTTGCTCAACGCGTTCGACGCGAGCTTCACGACCCTCCACTCGATCTTCAGGAGATTCACGTCGGTCCACTCGATCTTCAGGAGATTCACGTCGGTCCACTCGATCTTCACGAGCTGCACGTCGGTCCACTCGATCCTCACGAGCTGCACGTCGGTCCACTCGAACCTCACGCGTTTCACGTGGATGTACTCGCTCTTCGCGCTCCTCCCGAGTTTCACGTCGCTCATCACGAGCTTCGCGAGCCTCCAGTCGCAGGGATGAGTCCAACCGAACCCTGGTTTCCTCGCGCCTTTCGTTGCCACGATCATCGCGTGCCACTGACTCTACGCGGACTTTCCTCTCCATCTCCGCCGCGCCTTGTCTGTAAACCAAGTGCTCATCGTAGTCGTCGTGCCGTTGATGGCCATCCCAGCGGCCATCATTGCAGATGTCACTACCGGAGGTGTCGCCACAGAAGTGCCTGCTGCTCGCCCATGCCACAGTCAAACAGCCAAGGTGGAGCAGGAGGAGCAGAACGCTAAGCCGCAGTCTCATCATCGGTGGCTCGGTGGTGCTTGGTAGTCAGGTACGAAAGAAGAAGATCGAAGATTCAGTTTGCTGCTGTTTCACCAGCAGGATGCGCAACTGGAATGACTTCGCTAGTGGATTGTCGCCACTTTTATAGCGGAATCCGGCCTAGAACCCCAGTGGGCAACTCCCACGCTGGCACTTTGTGCTCCCAATTTGCTGGGCTGATTGATTGGATTCCGCTTATCGCACATGTGCACCACTGCACCACCAAGACGACGCAATTCCAAGTGGCGCAGACGCCACTGTCCATTCGAGTGAGCCTAATGCGCGGCCGCCTGTTCCAATTTTCCATGAATGAAAACTGCCAAGCCCGTGACGTCACGTGGGGTATGTATGTATAAACAATAAATAAAATAGGGAATCGATTTGCGAAGCTCGTTAGGCAGTCGTGACGTCAATATGTGCTTAGGAGGATGCTCAACTCCGTTTTTTCCGGAGCGAGTGCACAATTGCGATAAGCGCAATTCAATCAAAATCAAATTAGAGTGCATCGGGCAAAGCAGCCAAGCCCAATAATTGAGGATACTCCTGTGGCGCTTTAGATGGCCATCAGGGCATAAAATTGCCCATCGACTTGGCAACTGTGTCCCGGAGATGGCCATGAAACCACTGCGGGTATAAAAGCAGGCGTCGGCAGCTCGCAGAGCTGTCAGTTCCAAGGAAAATCGAGCAGCGAACGAGTGCTTCTTCGAATTCCGGTTAGCCTCGGAGCCGGAGGCTCGAGGATGGACCGGAAAAGCCTACGGACTATCTGGACCATCGTTACATTGGCCGGGCAAACGGAGCACCAGTACCCCCAACTACTAAGAATATCACTAACCAAGTATCAACTGTGTATTAAGCGAAACAGTCTAGTTATATGGTTATATATCTGCATCTTATCCGCATTAACAAACATTTAATCTACCCGTAGGTCAGTAATCTAAATCGAAATGTAATCACTGTTAAACTTAGCCAGTTAAATGTTGCTGTTGTTTGGGATCGTATTGTCATGGAGCTGAAAGATTTGAGCAGCTTCTTCTCTTACTCGTCTATCCGCAAATACCTTACTCGTATATTTGTATGCAACTTCTTCGCTAGTCTCATACGGAATACTAATGTATAACTATCCTTATGCTTGAATGCACGATACAAGAAGCACATATGATTATAATGTTCGTTTATGGGGATTGCCCGAATCGTCGGTAGTTATCCATCCAAATATCAAATAAATTGTACTCGTACTTTAACCAAAAGTTGGACAAAAATCATACGGAATTTTATTGAAGGGAGTTTAAAACGAATACTGGTGTATTCCAGCAGTGGTTAAAAGTTTAAATGCATCTCTGATCTCCGAAACTTCAAATCATTCAAGAAGCCTCTGCAGGACTTCTGGTTCCAGTCCGCAAGGAATCATTCATTCACGATTCAGATTCCGTGCGTTATAAAACCAGAAGTACCCCAGAAACCCCATCGTTTCCTATAGCATTTCGCAGTGGGTGATGAGCAGTGGCCGGCTGATTTTGCCATTCTTGGTACCATGAGCCTCCATGGCCTCGATGACCTTGTCGCCGCGTATCACCCGGCCGAAGCCCACGCGCTGACCCATGGCCACCGGCAGGGGCTTGAAACTGATGCTAAAGTTGATGGCTCCGCCGGGGAATCCGTGGACACAGAACTCCTTGGCGCAGGACAAGACGCAACCGAAGCGAGCGTGGCTCACCACGCGCGTGTCGAACTCCATGGGGTCACGATAGCTCAAGGAGGATGCTTCGCCTCTGCTGTTTTTACAGCTGCTCAGGAGATAGCCCTCCACCCACAGACGGGGAAAGATCCGTCGCACGGCGAACTCGTGCGACCGCTGGGCCAGGCAAGTGCGGACGAACTGCAGCACCACCAGCGGCGCAGCCTCTGTATATAGCTGCACCACCACTTGGCCCAACGGCCTGCCGTCCATCAGGCCAAAGTGCAGCACAATCCTGGGCCGCAGCAGTCTCATCAGCTCGAAGTTTTCCTCGGGCATGTCCAGATCCCAGCCAATGTACTTCTTGAACACCTCACTATCGGCGAGAGAGGACCGATTGGTCATTACACTGGGACACTTTAGGCTACTCGTCTGCGATTGCCAGCTGGAGCGCTTCCGCTGGACGGCTCCACGCTTCCGCTCATGGATCCTCATCAGGCGGCGGCCCAACAGAAGATTGTGACGCTGTACTAGGTCCACCCTGTGCAGCATTTGTGGAAGGGCTGATTGGGGGACGACAGGTGGCCCCTCCACAAAGTCAATGGTGCCTCTAGTTCGCTTGATCTTCGACAGGTTCAGCAGCAGGCGCACATTCGCGTTGGTCCGCTCCAGAAAGATGCGGGCATCCTCGTGCAGAACATCGAATCCGGACAGTGTCTTGGCGTTCAGCAGGGGCGGTCGCTGGTGCACCAAACTGGTGGCTCGACTCAGACGATGGAGGTACAACTTGTTGCGACTCTGCTGGACTCGTCGGTGGTGGCGCTCTGTGAAACTGGATACTCTGGAACCGATGGAACCATCGATGCGAATCGAACTTCGGTCAAACATATCCAACAAATATCGATAAGGCCAGGAAGCTTACTTTCTTGGCTATAAATATCATAAGGTGTGCGAATTGGAATACTGGGAATTTTTATTTGGTTTTTATCTTAATTGTCCGCCTGCTTGAGTTTTTACTTATGGGATCTATACTATTCCATTCGAGTCTTAACAGGGACCGTAATATTTGGAAAATTCACTTGGTAATCGTTTAGTATGCAAAAATAATGTAAGTCTTAACAAAAGTTGTACATAATAAATACTGGGTGAACTTTACATTGCTTATAATAGAACTAACGAGGAAGTATCGTGTACTATAGATCATCTTTCATTCTTAGTTACAGTATCTCACCAAGTTTTGAAATACTTTCATGTTCGGTATAGGTGGTCGGAAGATAGGAAATTGGGGTTAGGGAAAGGGTATGAGTAAACCGCATTTACGGCCCCTGGTTCTTAGTTTGTTTTTAACTTTTTCAAAGTTCTCTATCATAAACGCACAATAATTGGGTTAGGTAAAAAAAATTCAACTGCTAGGTTGGTAAAATTAATTGTGCTCGTACAGCACCTTCGTCTAAATCAAATATATAATATTCATGTTGAGATCGCTTCGAAATTCTGTACTTCGATATTCTATATACATAAAATACTTATTTCTAGTACAACTCTCATTTCCAATGCTACATCTCTTTCGTTTCCATGGAGCTACCACCTGGCTCGCTCTCTTTCACACCTCCATCGCTATCTCTTTCTAAGTTATGTGAACGTGGTTTAAACCATTCAATTTCTACATCAAAACACCGATATTTAAAATACATTCTGCTCTAAGAACTACAATAACTTTAATCGTGTTCTGTTTCATTAAATATCCTTGGTGAGCAAAGGGCCGTGAAATGGATGCCGTTTGGCCATCGGTGCCAGATTGGATTGCGGCTGTTGCTGGGAAAGATCTTAAGCCTATAAATAAGTGGTTGGCCAACTGATCACTTGTCGATACATGTACTTATTGTTTCCATTTTGAACACATTCGAATTTGGTTTGGGAAAATCGCAGGCGCGTCAGTTAGAGTTCCATTTTTGTAGACGCAATCCAACCTGGCAGCAAGTGCTCCCAAGCCCTGCTCCTTGTTCTGGCTAAAATTGTTTTATCATTGGATGTTTTCTGCTTAGACGGACTCTAATCGAATTGGCTGGCATTAAACGTGGCAATGTGGCTTAAGTATATCCTAAACACCCTGAACTCCACTACTTGTTGTTGTTCTCCTGCATCAGATCCTCGAGAGCGCCGTTGAGGCGTCCTTTGCTGAGTGCCTCCACCAGCATATGAAGTCGCTCCTCCCGCTCCGAGTGCCTCCTTTCCAACAGCGATACCTTGAAATAATATTTATGTCGCAGAGATTAGTGACGCAGCCAGCCAGTAAGTTTATTTTCACATTAAACAATCAAAACCTCTACTTGACTTGTCCTGCACTTTCTTGAACTTGCAATGGATCTTGATTGTTTCATGGAGCCTTCCGTACCTTGGCTTTCAGCGCATAGTAATCCACGGGCACCTTGCGCCGCTTTTGGGTGGTCAGTGCCTCCTCCCGCTCGTTGAGGCGCTGCTGCAGGATCCGCACAGTCTCGTTGCAGGAGGCCAGTTCCCTTTCGTGGGCACTCTGCAGGGTCTTCAGCTGAATGCCCGGTTCAAGTAGTAAACATTAGTTGGGGTTTAAGCCAAGTTTAAGTGGGGTAGTCAAATCACTTACATCCTGCAGCCGCTTGTCGTGCAGAGTTTTATAGTCGGCCTCCAGCAGGCGGTACTTGTTTTGGGCCTCCTTCAGAGCCTGACTTTCGGTGGCCGCCGGTATGTGGTCACTGTGGTGGTGGTGCTCGTAGCCACTGGAGCGCCTCTGCAGGGATCCGCCGCTGGCCTGGGACCTCAGATCCAGTTTGCTGCCTGACATGTCAGAAGCGCGAAATATGGCAAATGTAATAAATCGAATATAATACAACCAAATACGCATAATCCATAATTATGTAAGCTGAGATGGGGTTCATTGAGCTGCGTGTGGCCAAATTTTGATAAAAAATTTTCACAAAAAGCGTATTGCATAATCCGACGGTTATGAAGAGCGATTTACATGTTTTACACGCGCGTACGAAATTAAAACACTCGCTGATGTGGCTATTTATACGGTTATCGTCGTCCGCTTTTGGCATTTACAATTATTAACAAAACAAATTTGACGGAGCGACGGCTCATTAATTAGCCACAAAAGCCGCACAGCACATCGCATCAAAACACACATAGCGAGGCAATAAAAAGAAAAAAAAATATACAAAATAATCACAAACGCAGAAAAAGAAGCAATAAAAACCACGCTTAGCTTTTGGCCAACGACAGAGGCAGAGGCGGCCAACAAGTCATGGCATTATAAAACGTCCATTTCGGCGGGAATGGTAGCGGGGCAAAAGAAAGACGAGATGGGGCCGAAGAAGACCTGATCCAATCCAAGTCGATCCCCAGCAGCGTCCACCGACCCGCCGCCAAAACAAACCCGCGTCTTTGACTTTGACTTTCGCTTTCGAATTTTCTTTTTCGATGGCAGCCACACCGCAATGGCAACAGCAATAGCAACAGCAATAGCAATGGCAATAGCAACAAGAAATTTAAATCGAATCGACAAAAGGTAAATAAACAGCGTCAGGCCGCACAGGTGACATAACCAAGTGCCCGAGATGGGCCTCCCACTCCGCCCTCCACTCCACATGTATCTCTCGGTCGGTCGGTGTCTCCAACTTGGAGTGTGTGGACTCAGTTTCGTTTTGGCCGTTTGTTTTAACCCTAGCACAGCATATTTGTTGTTAGAAAACCCAGCAAATAGAATTTACAAGCAAATAAAAACTTTACTGCTCAAATCATAATAAATAATTTTCGACGCAAGCAGCCAAATCATTTCTCTCATCGCTGCTCTTCTTCGAGAGGCCCAATTTAACCCATGGCGATCAGGGGGTTAAGGCGTCTTGGCCCGGCTAAAACGTGTTTGTCTTGGCCATTGGCCGATGGCCGCTTAGCCGCTTAGTTGCGCTGCAATTGCCGTTTGAAACGAGTGCAAAAAGTGGTCAAAAGGCCGACAGCGTCGACAGCCGTACAATGATTTATTCCAGCAATTTATTTGCCGTCTCTAGAAGCGGAGTGGCGGAGAGGGGTCCCCCAGCTTGCGGGGGCGGGGCGGCGGTGCCTGGGAGCGGGGAGCGGGGAACTACCAAGTGTACGTGCTGACCGGGCAGAGAAAGTCCATAAATTACCAGCCATCCATCGGCGACCGAGTGACACAAACACAACCGAAATTAGAGAGGGGCTATGGGATGGGTTTTTGGATTTGATTTTGGATTTCAATGGGGATGGGGATGTGAACCTCGAATCGGGAGGGAGTCGATGCTCACCTGCCTGGCTGCAGGATCCACTACCCTCCCTGTCCCGCTGCAGCTTCCGTATGGTTTTCTTGCACTCATCCAGCTCCCGCGTAAGACGCTGCATTGCCTTGTTTTTAATGGCCAAATCGACGCGCATACTCCTCACGGAGCTGAGCAACTGTCCCTCCTCCTTGGATCCTCCGCCGCCATGGCTGAGCAGTGAGAGCGTCGAGTCCGACTGCGAGATGGGCAGCTTAGAGGGGCCGGCGGTGACCAGTGGCGAACGCCTTTGACCGCCACTTTGCTTCGAGTTCGGACGCGACGTGTTCGGCGTGGAATTGGCCGTGCTGCTGGTGCTGCTGCTTGCGGACGGGGCATGTGGATGAAGGTGGCCATGCGCGTGGTGGAGGTGCTGCTGCTGGCACACGAGCGCCGGCGAGGGGCAGCCAATGGTATTGGTACTGTGATCCCGCGTTCCATTCGCCGCCTGGGTTTGGGTGCCCATTGTGGTCGAGCTGACTGGGGTAGCTCTTCCTTGGCTTACTCCAGCGCCGATTGTTCCATCTTCGTCCAAGGGCTCCGTTTGGGTGCAATTGTTGTAGTATCTATCCGCCCTCTTTTGCATGTAGCGATCTAGGGTGCGCACCTGCGATTCTATCTGCTCGTTCAGCTTTGTGTTGATCTCCTGGAGGCTGTAGATATAAAGAAATATGATAAATCAATGTTCTTTTGAGCAACCTCCTATCTAGAACCCACCTTAGAACCTGCGTCTCCAAGTCCGCGATGTGCGTCTCATATTTGGCTTGCACCGAGTTGAAGCGCGCCTGGACATTGGCCAGAATCTGCTGCGCCTTGCGATCCTGCTCCTTGGCATCCGATTCCAACTGGGCAATGCGCTGCTCCAGCAGCTTGCGACTAGTCAAGTTCTCCTGGTCGTTGAGCGGACACATGCCCGGACTCTTGGACGCCACTGGGGGAATTACAGAACAGGAAAGTTGAAAAGATAACATTTGTTAGGTTGGTCAAAACGCACCAATCAGAGCGGACACGGAGTCCGGATGCTTGAGCATGAGTATACGCTCCATCTCGCGGCACTGGCGCTGCAGATCCTGAATGACGCGGCTGTCCTCCTTGCCCTCTGCAGTTCGACGCCGCTCCTGGTGCGCCTCCTGGAGTTCCTCGCGCAGGGAGCGCTGCATCTGGAGCGCCTCACCACGATCCCGGCGAGCCGCCTGCAGTTCCGCCCTCAAGACATTGGCGCACTCATTGAGATGCTGCACATCCAGCTTGAGCATCTCGGACTCCTCCTGCAGCCGGCTGTTTTGCTCCCGGAGCGCACGTTGCGTTTGCGACAGCGAGTCGCTCTGCAGGCGAACGGAGGCCAGGCGCTCCTCGGTGTCCTTGAGCCGCTCCTGCAGTTGCTCGATCTCCAGCTTGAGCGCATGCTCCCGGGACACACTACAAGCGATCTGCTCGATGGGCGAGCTCAAGGTGCTGACCATGCGCTTGGGTGAGCTGCCCACCGCCTTCTCGCTGTAGCTGGCCATCGGGCGAATGGGCTGACTGGTCTTGCTGTAGGAATAGCCTTGGCCCTTGGACTGCCTGCCAGTCGGCGGACTGCTCACCGCATTGCCAGAGTCCTCAGCCCGCGAAAATGTGGGGGCGTCCACCTCCGCCTCGGTGATCTCCTCCATCTGCAAGGAAAAGATATGAAAACAAAAATGTAGAACACTACATACTCGTAGGCTGGGGAAAGTGGGAAATATTTCTCCAGCATTTTCTGCAGTTTACTCATGCTCCACTAAACTATTATTGGAAAACCATTTCGAAAAGCTGAGTTTTACCTCGCAAATTTTAAGAGCCAAGCTCAACATCTCACTCACAGGCCACGTGAAAGATGAAGAGGTTCGATGAGTCGCGGCCACGGGGACATGTGAAAGTGCAGGGGAGGTGCTCCTGGGGTGTGGCAGCTTAACGGTAATGGGCCACAAAACGAGCCGTGAATGTGCGCGTTGCGAGAATAACAATAATACTTAATACTTGTCGTCGCCGGGCGGTTGCTTTCGGTGCCTCCAACATCCATCCTCTGGAGAGATGGCGAGCAGCGCAGGCCAGTGGAAACACAAAGACAGCGCACTGGAAATACACGCCACAATGACAACTTTATGTCCAAGTGGACAGTGGACCCAAATGCTCATGGCCTCAGTCAAATTTTTGGACAGACTCGGTTTCAAACCCCATACCGAAGTATTGCCATTCTTGACCGCCATAGATGTGATCTAAATTGAGTTGCACAAACGAAAGACTTAGGCAACGAACTAGCTATGCGCTGTAACTTGGCCCACTGTGCGCGGCAGCAACCCTCGTCAAACGCTATCGACTGTCAAGTGGCACCATGGGTCTTATGGCTGCCCGTGAGCGTAAGGAGATAATTGGGATGATGTGGGCGGCCAGCAGCAGCACCACCAGCGGCAACAACAACAACAATGCACTCGACACTCGACAAAAAGCAGCGAAATATATCGATGAAGAAAGAAAGTTCGTGGCACCGAACCCACTCCCACTTCCACTCCCACTCCGCCCACCATCGCCCATTGTCCCACTGTGCTCGTCGGCATGTGTGTGTGTGTGTGTGTGTGTGTGCGTGTGTGCATTGGTTTTGAAGTGGCCTTTTTCGGCATTTAGCCGCCAGCGATTGACTGACATTCGCTGCCCACTCTCGCTTTCATCGACTCCGCCAGGCTGGTAGTAGAATCTACCTGGAAAGCATCGCACACCTCCAACTCGTTTGCACCATTCACTTCATTCATACTTTTGTGAATTTTATGGAGCTGCCACTTTCCACTTGGAAATCAGCTTGAAATGTGTGAACCCATTTGCTGGGGTGCTCGATTTGAATAGGTTCTACTTCGTTTGGAGATTCAACCACTAAGCCACTTGAATAGTTACATTGGAAAACATATTTTTGCAAAATTTACAAATTTAATGGGATTTAGACAAGTGTTAGAGCTCAATAGCATGCTATCCAAATTGCCAATTAGCTATAGCTTGTGAATTTCACGCCGAAACATTAACGCGTTGGATTAGATTCATTATCGGTCGGGTGCCAAATGGTTGGGCAAAATTAGAGGCACTCGCCAATAGGCAGCCGTCGGTCGATTGATCAAGAAACTATATATGGCGGACTATTAGGACAATTTCACTACTTGACCCAGGCAATGGCGATGGTGATGGCGATGGCGATTGCAATTACTTGAACTCTCGCTCTTCCTCAATTGTCATTTGATAAACTCCACTTATAAAGTGAAAGGAGCGGCAGAAACAGCAATGGAACCAAGCCGAACCGGCAATTGTTTGCCCGCCAACGAGGTGCGGTTGATTAGAGAGCAGAGCGTGGGTAATACCAACACAAATATATAATATTCGAGTGCAAATAAAAGCCACAAAACAACTTATTCAGAAATCATGTCAATGAGCAAATTGGAAACTTTTAAAGCGCGCCAGCACTTTAACACCAAGAAATACAAGATGATCAGCATGTGATTTCGTGGCTGTGCCAAATCCGAGCAAACACGGGTGCGTCCTGCTGCACTTGCTCCATAAATATGTGCATGTTTATTTATATATAGCCCGATTCCAATGACAATACACATGACAGTTAACGCGCCACTGCCAATTGACATCGATTATCAATTGGGGGCCCCGCTGATTCAGCGCTTCAGCGATTCAGATCGAGATCGATATGGAAATGGAGCCTCAGAATGATTTGCTGTGCATATAGAAAGTCGATCACTCGATTACTGTGGCAGTTGATGGCACTTACGGAGAGCTACATTTTATATTTAATTGGGAAAAAGTTATTTATGGCATCGGAAGCTCAACAGCACTTAATTGCACAGCGGATGTGTGAGGAGTGATATTTGACTTATTTTCACTTTATTTTCTGATTATACCTTCGCTTATTACACGCGTACATGTGTTAAGTAGGAAATAATCAGAGGCATTCAACAAACACATTTTAATGAGCTTCTTGGCGCAGATTTAAACTGTTGATCCTAAGTCGCCTTTTGTTGGTTTCCCAAGAAATTTTGGGTGGCATATCGTGCCATTTGATCTGTTATAGTGCATATATTCAGATTATCAGTTTCTGGTTATGCTCCGCATCGATCCCGAAAGAAAGCGAGAGCGGGCGACCTGTCGCTATGGAAATGTGGGATCGTTGCCGGATTCGAAGATGGTAGAAATGCTGGGCGGGAGATATGGTTATGCCGATGACACTTGCTGGGGGGGATTAACATAAGAGCGGGCCGTGGGCACCGTCGCGGTCGCTCACAAGGAAGAGAGCCACGGGCTTCGGACACTGGGAACATACATTAACATACATAACAAGTTCCACTCTTTGATGGCCAGTGTAAGCGGGCAGCGACGCCGGCAGCGGCAGAGCGACGCCGGCTGCGGCGGCGGCAGCGTGAAGAGAAATATCGAAAATGAAATGGCAATACTTTCCCAGCGTTGGTATAAAAGCGCCACTCCACCAATGGGACATGTCTCATTACGGTTCACAGTCAGATCCCGCTAAGATGTACAACGCGAGATCGCGTGGCAGCGCTGCCAACGAGGGGATTTCCCCCAAAAGAATAATCACCATCGGCTCAATGCTCCTAGTCCTGGCTTTTGGCCAGGTGGCGTCCATGGCGCTGGATCGCCTGGCTCTCGAAAGGAACGAGTTGCCAGCGGATCAGCAGCAATCACAGCAGCAGGATGTTCTCGTGGACGACATGAAGCTCACCTCCATTCCCTCCGCCGACTCATCGGACATGTATATGCTGGTGCCCGATACGGTGGCCAGCCAACTGGAAGACACCGAGCATGTCAATCGCAACTCCATCGAGGCCGATCCCGAATCAGATCCCTCAGGCTCATCCTCCGTCGATATGCTGGCGCTGGAGAGCGATTCCAGCCCGGCCATGCAACTTGTGGAGCTGCCCAGCGACATTACGGTGGCCGAATCCCAGCCAGAAACGGAGCACGACGCGGAGAACGATCAGCAGCAGCACGAGTCCATCGAGGAACATGTGGTCCTAATGAAACCAGCTAGCCAGGAGGCTCAGCTGGAGCAAACCGTGGACTTGGCCACCGAAGCGGCACCAGTTCCCTTAGATGATGAGCAACCAGAGGATGAATCTCCTGCTGCCACCGAAAGTGCCCTGGAGGAATTGGAAAAGGAATCCGAAGCGGCCATGGATGATCAAGTGCCCGAGGAATCGGAAACTCAGCCGGAACAGGTGCAACCAGAGGAGCCCCAGTCGGAATCTGAAGGTGAACAGGCGGAAAAGAAGCCAGAGATTGAAGCTCAGCCAGAGATTGAAGCTCAGCCAGAGATTGAAGCTCAACCAGAGCTGGAGCCCCAACTAGAAGTGGAGCCACAAGCAGAAATAGAGGCCCAGCCTGAAGTGGAATCCCAGCCTGAAGCGGAATCCCAGCCTGAAGCGGAATCCCAGCCAGAAGTAGAAGCCCATCCTGCAGTGGAACCCCAGCCAGAAGTGGAATCCCAGCCTGAAGCCGAATCTCAATCAGAACCCGAAACCCAGCCTGAAGTGGAAGCCCAGCCTGAAGTGGATGCCCTGCCAGAGCCTGAATCCCAGCCAGAAGCAGAGTCCCAGCCGGAAAAGGAACCCGAAGTCGAGGCTGAGAAAATCAGTGATAACGAGGTGGACACCACGGATGCATCCCTGATGGAAACCCTGGTCGAGGGCATTGAAGATGGTCTAACTGCCGCTATGGACAACCTGGTGCCTGAAGAACTGGCCGATGCCAGTGATAACCAGGAGCCGGAGCCAGAGCCGGAAAGCGAGGACCAACAGTCCCCAGTCACAGAAGCCATTGAAGAGCAGGCAATTCCCGAAGTTGAGCAGGAAAAGGAAAAAGAAGCCGAGCAGCAAACCCTGGCCGATGAAACTGAGCAGGATGTTGCCCAACCTTCGAATGACGAGCCAGTCGAGATTGCTCCAGAGCAACAAATTCAAGCGGAGATTGCTCCAGCCGAAATTCCAGAGGAAGCCAAGCCTGAGGAGGAAGTTCTAGTGGAGGAGGAGGCCAAGCCCCTTGAAGAATCCAAGCCCGAGGAGGAAATCAAGCCCGAGGAAGATTCCAAGGCAGAGGAGCAGGTCCAGAATGATGCCGAGGCTCAGCCAACTATTACCGAAGTGAAACCAGAGGAAACTCCAGCTGATATCCCTGCCGAGATCCCTGTCGAGATTCCTGCTGAGATCCCTGCCGAGATTCCTGCTGAGATTCCTGCTGAGATTCCTGCCGAGATCCCTGCTGAGATTCCTGCCGAGATTCCTGCTGAGATCCCTGCCGAAATCCCTGCCGAGATCCCTGCTGAGATCCCTGCTGAGATCCCTGCCGAGATCCCATCCGAGATCCCTGCTGAAACCCCTGCCGAGATCCCAGCCGAGATCCCTGCCGAGATCCCAGCTGTAGCCCCTGCCGATCTTCCAGCTCAAGTTCAAGCCGATGTTCCAGCGGAAGCCCCAGCTGAAGTCCCTGCAGAAGTTCCTGCTGACATCCCATCCAAAATCGAAGATGAAATCCAATCCGACTCCACGCAAAACGAAGTGCAAGTGGATAAGGAAGCCCAGCAGCCAGAGAAGGAAACCAAGCCCATAGAATCCTCCCTGCTGACCACCATCATTCCCATGGTGGTGCCCCAACCCCCGGTGCCATCGCAACCCATTCAGGTCCAGGATAGTGTGCTGAACTACGTCAACGCCTCTTTCCTGCAGCAGCAGCCATCGGAAGCGGATCTGCCCAAGACGGAGGAGGAGTCGCCATTCAATGCCCATCTGCGGCGCTATGATGGCGCCCAAGTGTGGCGCATCGTGGTCCAGACCGACAAGGATAAGCGAATGGCCGACGAGCTGCAGTCCAAATACGGTGCGTGCCCCATCTGATGCCCTGGTACCTTCGATAGCTAATCTCATATGTTATTTGCCGTATTTCTTAGATGGCCAACTGTGGAAGGAGGTCAAGCAGGAGGTGGACTATCTGCTGAAGCCACAAGTTCTGGCCGCCGCCGAGCGCCACATTCGCGCCGCCAATCTTTCCCGGATCGTTCTCATCGACAATCTGCAGCGTGTCATCGAAAAGGAGAATCCCCCGGCGGAGAAGATTGCCGAACTCCAGAACCGAAAGGGTAAGTACAAATGAAGCAATCAAAGAGTGAGTTTAACAGAATTCTGAAGAATTGCATTAACTATTCTTGCGAAGAAATCCAAACTGTGTTTTTAAAGCCAAAAAACCCACAAGTTATTGTCAAGAGGAGGGTTGTCTTGAATCACACACACGCTATCCGTGCAGCAAAAGGATACATCCTTTCTATTATTATTTTTTTTTTTGGCGGAGCAAGAGCTTTTGATTGACAGGCGATAGGCCGGTGCCACCCTTTTTTTCCAACGCGAGGTGTCGCCGCAAACGAGCATTTAATGCACTCGGCGAGGGGCGTGTGAAAAGTCATCAAGCGCAAAGTGGCTTTGCCATAGGAACGTGCCACGTGCCACGTTGCCCCAACTCCAATCCCTGGACTTGGGGAGGGGAAAAACGCACCCGGAGAAAGGGGCCAGGTCCTTGCAAGACGCTATTGTTTAATCGATAGCCGGCGAAGCGGGGACGCCAGACGACGCCAAGACAAGGATGTCTCCTTCGAGGGTTCAGGGCCGAGGGTTCTGGGTTCAGGGTTCTGGGTTCAAGTTGAGGGTCAGAGTGCCGAGCTCCCTTTTCCCGCATTGAACTGACAGCAAGTTGAATGAACCAAAGGGGTAAGACAGCATATTTATCTGCTTTGTATTTTTTGTACTACCCGCAGGACATCGCCTCACCTGGCAGGCCTACCATCGCCTGGAGGACATCCACGGCTTCATTGACTACATGGCCAAAACCTATCCGGACATTTGCTCCACGGAGATCATTGGCTACTCGGTGGAGAAGCGACCGCTGAAGATTCTCAAGTGAGTGCGGCCACAAAACCACTGATGCAATGTAATGTTAAATATGCCTTTCCATAGGATTTCCAATGGCAATGCGCGTAATCCTGGCATCTGGATCGATGGTGGCATGCACGCACGCGAATGGATCAGTCCGGCCACCGTCACCTACATTGCCAACCAGCTGGTCGAGGGATGGGAGGATCTGCCCGAGCACATGCGCAGCATCAACTGGTACATCCATCCGGTGGCCAATCCCGATGGCTACGAGTACTCCCACACGACCGATCGCCTCTGGCGCAAGAACATGCGCGCCCATGGTCGCCAGTGTCCCGGAGTGGATCTGAATCGCAACTTTGGCTACAAGTGGGGCGGCAAGGGCACCTCCGCCAGTCCCTGCTCGCAGACATATCGCGGCAGCAAGGCCTTCTCCGAGCCGGAGACCTTCTACATCTCCAAGTTCATCAGCGGCTTCCCGCGCGAAACCTTCCAGGCGTACCTCTCGTTCCACAGCTACGGCCAGTACATTCTGTATCCTTGGGGCTACGACTACCAGCTAACCCAGGATCGCGCCGATCTGGATCGTGTGGCGCGTCAGGCGGGAACGGTGAGTTATCCTCAAATCGAGTGTTACTCCACAGGCCTGGAATTGTAATATGGTATTCGTTCTATTCCAGAGCATCACCAAGTCGACGGGCGTGAAGTATACGGTGGGATCCTCCGCCACAACCTTGTACCCCGCCGCCGGCGGCTCCGATGATTGGGCCAAGGGCATTGCGGGCATCAAGTACGCCTACACCATTGAAATGGGCGACACCGGACGGTATGGCTTCGTCCTGCCCGCCAGGTTCATCCAGTACAATGGCAAGGATGGCGTGACCTTTGCCGACACCGTGGCCAGGGCCATTGCCCAGGGACGCGGAAAATCGGTGGCCAGGAACAGCAGTGGCAGTCGGAGGCGTGGCCACTAGTCCGGACATTTAGCTCAATGCGATTTTTGTAAATCAGCCTAATGATTTTTTTTTTTTTTTGCTATTTATATGAATACTATTTATTTATTTATTTATTCTACTTGTAACTAGACAAATTGTACACACACACAAGAACACACAAGACAAAAACAAAAAAGCTCATCTAAATAGACTGAAAAATGTTTATTGAAAAATGAAAAAATAAAAAAAAATTAAAATAATTGAGAACAACGTTAATGTGTTTTAACTTGGGGCAATGAATTGTTAATACTTCGATTAGTAAACAAACAAAACCGAAAATGAATTGTTATACGCGCAGACAGCAAAGCCAAAATGAAGAATCGCTGGCTGCCTTCTTCTAACCAGTATAACAGTATGACAGTCGCAGCTCAACCAAAGTAAAAGTCCGAAATGAAAAGCATCAAAATCAGCGGCATTCCGTCAATATGCAAATGCGTTGGCCTTAATTGGGGAATCGGTCAAGTAATAGGTAAATACATGGCCCGCGGAAGACGCGAAGAACGCGGCTCGGAGAATGGCAAACGAAGAATGGCGAACGAAGAATGGAGAATGGAGAATTGAGAACGCGAAAATCCGTTAGCCGGAGGCTGCGGCTCACCGATCGATTTGCGAACGCATTAAATCCGCACCGACTGCCCAATCGATCGCACCGCCAGATCTGCAATCCAGAAACCAAGCGATACCTATTCCAAAATATTTCAACAATATGCACCGCCTTCCCTGGAAGTGGGCGTGGCTGCCGCTACTGCTACTAATTACAGCGAAATTGGAGCAGGTGGGCGGCAGAACACATCTGGATTTAGCACGCACCGATAGTCAGCTAACGAGGCTGCCATTCTTTGGCGGCGGTGTGGGTCACCTGCTGCGATATCTGCACCCCTTGGCGATGAGTCCCCCATCCGAACGCGTCAGAACGTCGGAACTCCGCAGCGAATTGGATGCCAACTATGTGAGCTACCGAGGTGCGCAGCTGTGGAAGCTGAACTTCAACGCCACCCGGGGCTCATCCATGGAGGAGCGGGAGGAGGACGACGAGCTGGCTGAGGAGGCTGCGGAGCGACAGGTGGTGTCGTCGCCGGATGCCCAATTCAACGAGGTGGTCGCTTTATTCGGTGAGTTAAAACTAATGCCCCGGAGGGCCTTTCCAGAAGTCAGCCAAGCCACACAAAAGAGGAGAAATTGTCAAGCCAGCCGCACACTCGCGGCCGAGAAACTAGAACTAGCAATTACACTTGCGTATGCAGTGTTTTGGCCATAGCAATGGAAAAATGGTCAAAAATAAATTGCCCTACCTCTCTGAGCTCGTAATTTCGCCTTTAATCGAGAGGCGTTCAAATCCATAAAATTATTAGTTTTTTGGTCACAACTTCAAAAATATTTGTCTGAATATGGAATGCCATACCTCGTTGAGCTCGTAATTAAATTTCCAATCGAACTGTGTTCAAAAATGGGAACTCAATTTTTTTTGCCATTTTTTGCAAATTTTGATGATGTTACCCCTTACAAAAAATGCAAAAATTCTCAAAAAATTTAATTTCCCTAAATCAGTCAAAAAGTGATAGGAATGGTTAGATTTGGTAATTAGCTGTTCAAATCTGTTATTCTTTCATCTTTATGATAATTTTTACCGAAGTTATGATGAAAATTCCCATCGAAAATATCGAATATTTGCCAAAAGTCGTTTTTCGCAATTTCCATCATAAAATAATCAGTTTTTTGGTCACAACTTGAAAAATAATTGTCTGAATATGGAATGCCATACCTCGTTGAGCTCGTAATTAAATTTCCAATCGAACTGCGTTAAAAAATGGGAACTCAATTTTTTTGCCATTTTTTGCAAATTTTGATGATGTTACCCCTTACAAAAAATGCGAAAATTCTCAAAAAATTTAATTTCCCTAAATCGGTCAAAACGTGATAGGAATGGATAGATTTGGTAATTAGCTGTTCAAATCTGTTATTCTTTCATTTTTATGATAATTTTTACCGAAGTTATGATGAAAATTCCCATCGAAAATATCGAATATTTGTCAAAAGTGTTTTTTTGGAATTTCCGTCATAAAATAATCAGTTTTTTGGTCACAACGTGAAAAATAATTGTCTGAATATGGAATGCCATACCTCGTTGAGCTCGTAATTAAATTTCCAATGGAACTGCGTTAAAAAATGGGAACTCAATTTTTTTGCCATTTTTTGCAAATTTTGATGATGTTACCCCTTACAAAAAATGCGAAAATTCTCAAAAAATTTAATTTCCCTAAATCGGTCAAAACGTGATAGGAATGGATAGATTTGGTAATTAGCTGTTCAAATCTGTTATTCTTTCATCTTTATGATAATTTTTAACGAAGTTATGATGAAAATTCCCATCGAAAATATCGAATATTTGCCAAAAGTGGTTTTTTTGAATTTCCGTCATAAAATTATCAGTTTTTTGGTCACAACTTGAAAAATAATTGTCTGAATATGGAATGCCATACCTCGTTGAGCTCGTAATTAAATTTCCAATCGAACTGTGTTCAAAAATGGGAACTCCATTTTTTTGCCATTTTTTGCAAATTTTGATGATGTTACCCCTTACAAAAAATGCAAAAATTCTCAAAAAATTTAATTTCCCTAAATCAGTCAAAAAGTGATAGGAATGGTTAGATTTGGTAATTAGCTGTTCAAATCTGTTATTCTTTCATCTTTATGATAATTTTTACCGAAGTTATTATGAAAATTCCCATCGAAAATATCGAATATTTGCCAAAAGTGGTTTTTGGGAATTTCCGTCATAAAATTATCAGTTTTTTGGTCACAACTTGAAAAATAATTGTCTGAATATGGAATGCCATACCTCGTTGAGCTCGTAATTAAATTTCCAATCGAACTGCGTTAAAAAATGGGAACTCAATTTTTTTGCCATTTTTTGCAAATTTTGATGATGTTACCCCTTACAAAAAATGCGAAAATTCTCAAAAAATTTAATTTCCCTAAATCGGTCAAAACGTGATAGGAATGGTTAGATTTGGTAATTAGCTGTTCAAATCTGTTATTCTTTCATCTTTATGATAATTTTTACCGAAGTTATGATGAAAATTCCCATCGAAAATATCGAATATTTGCCAAAAGTGGTTTTTGGGAATTTCCGTCATAAAATTATCAGTTTTTTGGTCACAACTTGAAAAATAATTGTCTGAATATGGAATGCCATACCTCGTTGAGCTCGTAATTAAATTTCCAATCGAACTGTGTTCAAAAATGGGAACTCAATTTTTTTTGCCATTTTTTGCAAATTTTGATGATGTTACCCCTTACAAAAAATGCAAAAATTCTCAAAAAATTTAATTTCCCTAAATCAGTCAAAAAGTGATAGGAATGGTTAGATTTGGTAATTAGCTGTTCAAATCTGTTATTCTTTCATCTTTATGATAATTTTTACCGAAGTTATTATGAAAATTCCCATCGAAAATATCGAATATTTGCCAAAAGTGGTTTTTGGGAATTTCCGTCATAAAATTATCAGTTTTTTGGTCACAACTTGAAAAATAATTGTCTGAATATGGAATGCCATACCTCGTTGAGCTCGTAATTAAATTTCCAATCGAACTGCGTTAAAAAATGGGAACTCAATTTTTTTGCCATTTTTTGCAAATTTTGATGATGTTACCCCTTACAAAAAATGCGAAAATTCTCAAAAAATTTAATTTCCCTAAATCGGTCAAAACGTGATAGGAATGGTTAGATTTGGTAATTAGCTGTTCAAATCTGTTATTCTTTCATCTTTATGATAATTTTTACCGAAGTTATGATGAAAATTCCCATCGAAAATATCGAATATTTGCCAAAAGTGGTTTTTGGGAATTTCCGTCATAAAATTATCAGTTTTTTGGTCACAACTTGAAAAATAATTGTCTGAATATGGAATGCCATACCTCGTTGAGCTCGTAATTAAATTTCCAATCGAACTGTGTTCAAAAATGGGAACTCAATTTTTTTTGCCATTTTTTGCAAATTTTGATGATGTTACCCCTTACAAAAAATGCAAAAATTCTCAAAAAATTTAATTTCCCTAAATCAGTCAAAAAGTGATAGGAATGGTTAGATTTGGTAATTAGCTGTTCAAATCTGTTATTCTTTCATCTTTATGATAATTTTTACCGAAGTTATGATGAAAATTCCCATCGAAAATATCGAATATTTGGCAAAAGTCGTTTTTCAGATTTTCCGTCATAAAATTCTTACATTACGTAAAAAGCGCAGACTTTTGACCAGATCATTGAAAATAGTTACAACAAAAAAAATAAGCAGCATTTTGGCCATAGCAACTAACAAAGCTATTGCGAAATGTTACCCCGTTCAGATTGTGGTAGAAACTCCAATCGATCGCTAGCTGCTAGTGACTTCTCCGCGTCTGTCACGATGAGAGGCTCGTTTGGGGAGGGGTCAGGGCAGGTCAGGTCGGGTCAACTCGACCACCTAAGCACGCATTGGCACGCATAAATTTGTGCTTTCGGCATAAATCAGAGAACCGCTAGCCCAGAACCCAAAGCGGAGAACCCAGATTCAGTCGGAAGATGCCGCCACTGGAAGCGCTCACGTTTGCGGCCCTGATCGGATCGGTTCTTGGCCAGAAGCTGCTGCTCTGGCGCAGCGTTGCCGTGCCGGAGATCTCCGGAATCTCTGGTCTGCCCCTCGCCCTGCTGAACCTCAATGGCAGCGAGTTGTACGAGTCCACGCTGGAGGGCTTGCAGTGGCTATCGCCGTTGGATCTGCGACGTTTCGACTTCCTGTCGCCGGGCTCCTCGTTCCAGATAAACAGGCGCTACCGAAATGGCAGCCATGTACAGCGATACTACGGCTGCCAGCTGTGGAAAGTCCACGAAACGCGGCTGGAACAGCCGAAGCTGAGAGCCTTTTGGCGGCACTTTGGTATAAACGTATTAATCGCATTAGTCATCAAATGAATCTATGAATACTATCATAATAAATCAGACTTAAGTATGAAAAAACATATCTAAGCTACTATCGAATGTGAATTGCCATTAACCGATTGCCATCGG